ATATATATATATATGTAAATCACAAAATAAACTGAATTAAGTGTTTTAAATTGAACATAATATTTATTATTTAAAAATTGCACATTTAAAAGTGCACATATTCATCACACTACGTTGCACTAATTCATCTTGAATTGTACATATGGTACTCACTGTACATATACGTTATTATGTTCATATCTATCTGCATACCGCTGATTTATAATAGTAACCTGTACATATATTCATCTATTGTAAATCTCTGTTTAAAGTAAATTCGACCTGTATATAATGTTCACAGTGCATCCATCTGTAAATATCACCATCGTTTTTTTATAACTGCACTTATACCTATATCCTGCACTTGCTGCTTTTGCACTCCTAGCAGACCTAAACTAAATTTTGTCGTCTTGTACGTGTGTAATCACTATAAAGTTTAATCTAATCTAATTCTAATAAATAATAAAAATAAGTTTAATTTAACATGAATTAAATTTAAAATGCAAAGAAAAAGACTCCTCAGCATTGATATTAGTAAATATTAGTTTGAACTTTTGCTGATACATTGTTTTTAATTTACTTGTACAATATTTAATTATTGATGGTTCATTCTGCTGTGGTGACCCCTGATAAATAAAGGAAATATCCATCAGAAAGTATTTATTTATTGTATGTTAGGCTCTATACTAACATATATAACATCAACATTTTAAATGAACATGAAACAGTTGTGCTTTTATTTAATAGACTTGATGCAGTTAACGCATCAAGAACCGCCAAAATGGAATGACAGTAATGAAATCAGATGTGCTGCCTGTAACTAATATGTCTTATTTATCCAACATTTTGAGTTATTTAATTATATATATATAAATTCACCATCTGCTCACTGAAGAAACGCTAAAGCTCAAGGTGATGAGCTGTTTTAGCGCTCTAGTTGAGTTAATTCAATTTGAGTCTGATGTTCACTGGAGCACAAATGTTTTGTTTTTTTGCTATTAAACTAATTTAGAAACTCAGACACACTTTTTGGTTTTCTCCTGTGTTCGTGTGTGATTCTGTAGGTAAAGACTTCCGCGATGTGATGATTAGCAGGAATAACAGCATCACAGAGCAGATCACGGATGTGGTGAAACAGCCGGCCTTCATCGCGGGCATTGGCGGGGCCTGCTGGGTCATTCTGATGGGCTTCAGCATCTGGCTCTACTGGAGGAGGAAGAAGAGAAAGGGACTCAGCAATTACGCAGGTACACAGCAGAACATGCAAACACACTTACTGTGGAGACACAGGAACAGGAAGCACACGTTCTCTTGATGTACATTTACATTAAAAAGTCTTAATTTTAGATTTTGGTCTCGATTCTAGTCCAAATATCTTACAATTCTTATATCAGAACGCATTTTAACTAGACAATTTGTCATATTTTTGTGTGAAATAATTTAATAAATAATATCTGTCAATGGGGTAAACAAAATAATCATATTTTTGCTTGTTTTAAAGAAAAAATAACTTAATTTTGACGTATTATTTCTAAAAACATGACTATGTACATGTGTGTGTGTGTGTATATATATATATATATCTTACTATTAATGAGTGGCTGATTATTAGATTTTTGTCTGCCTATTATTAAGATACTGGCTGCTTATATAATTCTAGATCAGTGGTTCTCAAACTATTTTCACCAAGTACCACCTCAGAAAAAAAGTCTCCAAGTACCACCATAAACAATGACCAGTATTAAAATACAGTAGCTTAGCAGACCTAATTAAGCAGCTACAGCACTGCACAGTTCAAAAACGAGACAGATTAATTAAAATTATTATGAATGTTTATTATTTTCTGCCTCTTTAAATATTTTAAATAGTTTGAACATTAACGCTACACAAATTAAGATGTGCTTATAAAAGTGAATAAAAAATGGCACTGTTCCTAAAGTAAAAATCAAAACGTGCAAATGTCTTTGACATTATAAATATAAGCTATATGTCATCATATTCATATGTAAACTCTTTTTGATCAATTTTGAAATAGATGTTGCATGTATATGTGACTTGTTTGTATATCTTAGAAATTATATTTGCTTACTGCGCGTTAGAGTAGGCTCTGTGTGTTAGAAAAAAGTCATTAAACCTTACATGTAAACATTGAGATATAAAAATATGGGATAAAAATATGGCCCCCAACAACCGTTACAAGTATGGAGAGGAAATTAGCTTCAAATGGTAGAATACATAACAGTCATTAGAAAATTGACAATACAATAACAGGTTAAGCCTATTAAAATCAATATACTGATCACACTGGTGTTATCGTATGCGTCAAAGGGTTAAATATGTGTTTGTTTTTCAACTTTAAATATTCAGCGATTCCTCTGCGTACCACTTGAAGGAAGCCTGCGTACCACTAGTGGTTCGTGTACCACAGTTTGAGAACCACTGTCATTATCCATTATCCTAGCCAATACCCAATTACTGGATTAATAACTATCATAGGTAACACTCTACAATAAGGTTGTATTAGTTAATGTTAGTTAATGCATTTACTAACATGAACAAACAATGAACAATACATTTCTTACAGTATTTGCTCATGTTATGTAATGCTAATTAATGAAAATACTGTGAAAATTTGTTTGTTCATGTTAGTTCACAGTGCATGATGTTAACCAGCATGAATTTAGATTTTATTAAGGCATTAGTACATCTTGAACTACGATTAATAAATGATAGTAAATGTTAGTTCATGGTAGTAAGTATATCAACTAATAATAACTTATTGTGAAGTGTGACCCTATTAATAAGCAGCAGTTAGAAGGACATGAGTCATAGTAATGGTCTATTAATAGCAAAGAGTTGAATCAAACTCATATAAAAAAAAAAAACTAATTAAAAATAATAATAATTTCTATAGTGTTTATTTTACTGTTTAAAAACAGCTTTTTGTGGTCATGTTTTACATTTTAAAAAGCATTTGAATGTGTTGCAGCTTTGCTAAATGATGATTGGTCAAGTTTGCAAATTGGCGGGACTTTAATCATGTGATATGTTGATGAAAAAATCACCATTTTTTTAAAAAAAATTCAAAATACAGTAAAAAAAATGAAAATTTTTCATACATTTTGTATTTTAAAATTATTTTTTTATTATAATTACTTCAGTCTTCTTTTAAAAATATGCTGATTTAGTGATGATATAGATGCATTATTATTATTATTATTATTATTATTATTATTATTATTATTATTATTATTATTATTATTATTAATATTAATATTATATTAGATTATTATTACTATTGTTATTATTGTTGTTGTTGTTGTTTTTGTTATTATTATTATTATTATTATTATTATTATTATTATCATTATTATTATTATTATTTAAAAACACTGTTCTAAACACTATTCTATTATTAAAATACTGTTCTAAACAATATTGTTTATAGGTAATTTCGCTGTTTTAGATTAGTTTTTAAAGCAGCATTGCAGAAATATACAGTTGTCAACATTTGAATAAAAAAAAAATCAGAATGAGAATAGATGAGAATAGGTGTTGAACAGATAATTCATTCACACACCTTTTTTTAACCGCTTGACTGCTATATATATAAAAAAGTGTGCACATTTCTTTGCTTTCCTGTTCTTGAAAAGCTCCTGTCGCCACTGAAACACTATCCTTTTTTGTTTATTATTTGATTTGTTTCGTTTTATTTTAAGTATGTTTGTGTGTCTTCTGTGTTAGAGTGCTTGTCTCATTCCTTTGGCTGCTGTCTTGCTGTCTTGACTCTGATGGCATAACGCAAAACCTCCAAACACACTCCGATATGCATGCGGATAATCATGCACAGAAACACACAAACCTTCCAGAGCCCGACTGAGCACTGCAGGCTTTTTAACACACACTCTTCTCTGTCTTCTTGTTTTTGCAGTTCAGTCGTTCACCTTCACCCCTGCAGGTACTGTTCATTTGTCCCGTCTTTTTGAAACCACCATCCCTTGTTCCTGCATTTATCTTTCTTTCCTTTGCAATATCCCTTTTTCATGATCCATAGTCACAGGTCTTTAGATGATGCCTACCTGACTTTGATCTCTTTTGATATTTTGATATAATATTTATTTTGTGTTGTTATTGTTAATATTATTATTTAATTATTTTTATATATTTATTATTTTTAATATTATTGATTTTTTTATTATTTAATTTATATATTTATTATATAGTATTTATAGTATTTATTAAATAAGATTTATTTATTTTTTTATGTTTTTTTGTTTTTAATATTTATTATGGATTTAATTGTTTATATGTTTATACTTTATTTTATTTCTTTGTTTTGATTATTTATTTATATTTATTATTATTTAATTATAATATTTATTATTATCCATTTTTAATTCATTAATTTTTTTCTTTTAAATGTTTGTATTAAATAATTTTAAATAATTTTATTTTTATTATTTATATATTTATTTTGGTTTATTATTATTATTATTATTATTATTATTATTATTATTATTAAATTATTTTCATTTTTAAATATTTTGTTATTGATTATTGAATATTATTGACTATTCTGTTTTATTTTCCAAAATACGTAATTACATCGATTTTTTTTTCTACGAAATAACAAGGTCAAACCTAAAAATGATGATGTCTGTGTATAAACTCTAAAACCCACAATGTTACTTATTTATTTTTTTAGACCCCCTTATAAACTTGTATCAAAGTCAGGTAGTAGATCTGTGAGCTGCAAGATCCTGCGGTTCTCCATTTGTGTTTCTTTCTCCTTTTCTTCAGGTCATTGTTTTTTCAGTGGTGGTCACCTGTTCTGATTTCCTCATGTGGGTTTTCCATCTCATCTTTATCCTTCTTTTGTTCTCCTATTCTCTCTTTCAGATTTCTTGCTTGTGCAGGTGTTGTGAATTGTTTTTGTTCTCTTTCTGAGTTCTCCGCTCTTTGATTCGTTGCTGTCTATGTTATTATCCGCTTGAACAAACTTACATATGGGATTCAGTTGTTCTCACCATGCGAGGTTGTCAACATGTTTTCTGAAGGTTTTTCCATCTCCCTCTAGTGAAATATGCTTCTGTATGTTTTATTCTACAATGGGCTAAATTAAAAATAGGCTGTCTTTGGGATATGATACTAAAATACTGAATATTGTATTATTCAGTATTATTCGTAGTATTGTATATATACAGTTGAAGTCAGAATTATTAGCCCTACCATTTTAAAATAATTCCCAAACAATGTTTAATAGAGCAAGGAATTGTTCACAGTATTTCCTGTAATATTCTTCCCTCTGGAGTAAGTCTTATTTGTTTTATATTGTCTAAAATAAAATCAGTTTGTAATTTTTTAAACCTTTTTAAAGTCAATATTGTTGGAACACATGCCAAATAAATAAGATCTAGCCCCGGACACACAAGATCCTGTCAGAAAAGGCCTGTTTCTCTGGCTATCCAGACAACAAGCCAGCAGGGCCGCCCAATACCCAAACAGAGACAGGCTGCACTGGTAAGCAGTATCTTCATAATGTCATTTAATAAAAAAAAATATATATATATATCAACAAATGAATCTGTATTGACGGTCTTTAAAAGTGAAGGAATTATCTACACACAATATGAACTCCCCATTAGAAAAAATATTACAAACTAGAAAATACTATTCATGAAAATACTTTCATCACAGACAAATCCATATGCCTAATACAAGCAGGCTGCGTTCCAGATCAGCTCAGCTTAATGACGTATTACCAACTTGATAGCAACCGTCTTTTTAAAGAAGCGTAACAGATTTAAAAAAATCAACAGTGTGTTGTAACTGATGTGCTTCATGTCGTATAATAAAACGTGAAAGTATCTTGAGTTTGTGGTAGCCACGGACTTTACTTAACCGATTTAACCAAAATCCCATTTGAAAAACCCATTGACTTTGGGACGAGGGACTGCTAAAATGCAAACTCGCTTCTGGGTTTTTGCATACAAATTGACGTCATAGATCCTCCACTCTATATGGAAAAATAAAATAAAAATTTAACAGTAATTATAGGAAAATAACCTTAAATTGTGCCAGAACATGCCGGATCCAGCACCTCTAAAATCTAATCCGGCACCTCCTCACCCGCCCTTCTCCCAGGTTCGCTGTTTACTTTCACTTTGTTCTGCCACTTCCCAACTCTCCTCATTTTCGTCCGCGACAACCAACCCCCATCCTGGCTCATAACTGTCGTGCGCGACACCTCTTCAATCTCGGGTAGCATGCCGGATCCCTTACCCCAATCTGTTCCGGGACCTCGCGATTCACAAATTAAGCACTGGAAAATAGTAACGATACTATAAAAACATAAAAAAATGACAGATAATAATCAATAATAATAGTCAAATCATTAACTAATGATCAATGAAATGATATAATGATAATTATGTAAATGAATAATGATCATATGACTAAATAAAATAATTAAATGAACATAAATAAATAAAAATAAAACACTTAGCAAATAAGTGGTTGTTTGCTTGAATAATCACATACATAAGCTTTCTACAAGGATTTTCGATTCCTTAGATTCTTTTTTATTATTAGCCCCCATAAGCAATATTTTTTCAGATTTTCTACAGAACAAAACATCATTACAATGACTTGTGTAATCACCCTAACTTGCCTAATTAACTTAGTTAAGCCTTTAAATTGCACTTTAAGCTGAATACTAGTGTCTTGAAAAATATCTAGTTAAATATTATGTGCTGTCATCATGCCAAAGATAAAGTAAATCTGTTATTAGAAATGAGTTAATAAAACTATTATTTTTAGAAATGTGTCGAAAAAATCTTATCGTTAAACAGAAATTGCTCAAAAAACTATACAGGGGTTCAAATAATTCAGAAGGGCTAATAATTCTATATATATATCCTATATATATATATATATATATATATATATATATATATATATATATATATATATATATACACATATATAGGAAATTGTCGTTTGTTGTTGCTTTTACCAAATGTCATTTGTCTGCTATATACTGCAGAAAATAGTATGAGTGCTATTCCCAACATCACCTTATTGCCACCGACCTCATGATTTTCAATCCATCAAATATCCTCCCATTCTCAAATACGGTCACGCTGCCATTGATTTTCCACTTTATGTTCCCAATAGCAGCGAAATGTTTGTAATTCAATGGTTGGTTTGTCCGCAAGTGACGTGATATACAGGAGATTCACAGGCCTACAGAGGTTAACCAGTGATGACCTGATCCAGTCACACGCTCGGCCACAATCACAGTGTGAATTGATAACAAAAAAGCCAAAAAGAAAAAAAAAATCACTAAGGCTCGCTCCAGGTCTCTCAGGGACTGAGGTGTGCTTTTATCTTGTTGGAGGGTTTCGCTCCTAACTTCATTACAGATGAAATCAGTCTCTCTGCAAAATAGGACACCACTGCACTCCACTTTTCCAGAGATAAGACCATGGCAGTCAGGTGTCTAAGTCGTATGGCCTCAATATCCCTCGTCTCCGTTTTAATGCACTCCAGTGGTCTCTCCCCGCCACTGCTTCACTGGGCTTCAAGGTTGTTGGCTCCCAGGGGACGGCGTCTTTCTCGGTTTCCAGCACCCATGTGCTGAGCAGATAAGTGTAGCGTTCAGGTGCATTACTGACACGCCAGACCCCATGTGTGTGATTCCCGCGGAGGCAACGGCCCGTGGAAGAAAAATAAAACTCATATTATGTTGAATTTACTCAGAAATATTGGTTCATGTACTCACTGCAGTTCAGACAAACAAAAGGAGGATGCGTAGTGTAGTCATTGAAGCAACCGTGCTATTTACTTTAGTTATTATACTGCTTTGAGTTCTGTTTGTTGACAGGACTCTTGCCCGAGAAGAGATGTGATGCAAATGTTTACATTTTTTAGTTTACAAATGTGTGGCTCAGTGGTTAGCACTGTCTTCTCACAGCAAGAAGTTTGCTGGTTCGAGTTACAACTGGGCCAGTTGGCATTTCTGTGTGGAGTTAGCATGTTCTCCCAATGTTTGTGTGGGTTTCCTCCGGGTGCTTCAGTTTCCTCTACAGTCCAAAGACGTGTTATGGGTGAACTGGGTAAACAAAATGGTCATAGTGTGTGTGTGTGTGTGTGTGTGTGTGTGTGTGTGTGTGTGTGTGTGTGTGTGTGTGTGTGTGTGTGTGTGTGTGTGTGTGTATGGGTGTTTTAAAGTACTCGGTTGTGGCTGGAAGCGCATCCACTATGTAAAACATATGCTGGATTAGTTGACGATTCATCACGCTGTGGAAACCTCTGATATATAAGAGACTAAGCTGAAGGAAAATGAATGAATGAACATAGTGTTGTATGAGGAACAATGTTGTTACTGAATATTGTGCCTCATAATTTTAATTTGTAAAGGGAATAGGGTGCTTCCTTATGCATTTGTAACCCTTCTGGATCTACCTGCACCACTCGGAGCAGGGTCTGAACTGGTGCCTTACCCACAGCCTCAAGCAACGGTTGTAAGTTTACCTCTTTTGGTCAAAAGAATAAGGTTTATACACTCATCTCCGATGCAGTAACCCCCTCAGCCTCACTCCCATCTGGGTCACGCCACCAGTCTAACCTCTCCAGATCTGCCTGCACTGCTTTGAGCGGTATTTGAACTGGCACCTCTGGCACTGGAAAGCACTAACAAGCATGCTAATGACTGCACCCTCTAGCATCAGTGTGCCTCTTGTGAGTCGGGGAGTTAGGTTTACTTATGCAGCTCTTACTAGCTGCTCTTCATGACACTAACCCCACTCCCATCTAGGTCACAACACCAGTATATCCCCTTCAATATTGGTCATGCTATTGAGTAGCATTCCAGCTGGCATATCTGCAATGGGAGGTTGCTAAAAAGTGTGCTAATGACCACAGCTGCAAGTATCAGTTGCTATTGTATCTCATTTGTAAGCAGGGAATTAAGGTTTGCTCGCACAGCTCTCCTACAGTAAACCCCCCTCATCCTCACTCCCATCTGGGTCACGCCACCAATGCAATTCCTTCAGTTTTTTTCCGCACCACTCTGAAAGGGATTTAGGCAAATCTAGCTTGGAAGAGTGCTAACAAGGATGCTAATGATGGTAGCCTCCAGCATCAGTCAGTGAGCCTCTTGTGATTAAGGGAGTTAGGTTTATTTATGCAGCTCTTACTAGCTGCTCTCCATAACGTCCACTCAAATTCACTGTCATCCATGTCATAACACCAGTATATCCCCTTCAATTTTGCTCATGCTATTGAGTAGCATTTGAACTGGAATACCTGAAATGGGAGGTTGCTATGAAGGATGCTAATGACCACAGCTGCGAGCATCAGTTGCTATTGTACCTCATTTGGAGGCAGGGAAGTAATGTTTGCTCACACAGCTCGCCTAAACTAAACCAACCCTCAACCTCACTCGCTTCTAGGGAGCAATGCAATACCTACAGTTCTTCTTGCACCACTCTGGGAGGGATTTAGATTGGCAAATCTAGCCTGGAAGAGTGCTAACAAGGATGTTTATGATGGTAGCCTCCAGCATCAGTCAGTAGTGTGCCTCTTGTGACTGTAGGTAATGACAACAGTTACAAACCTCAGTTGCTAGTGTACCCCATTTATGACCAGGGGATTACGTTTTGCTCACAAAGCTCCCCTGCACTTACCCCATCTACCCTCACTCCCATCTGGGTCACGTCACCAATGCAATGCCTTCAGTTCTTCTCGCAGCACTCTGGGAAGGATTTAAGCAAATCTAGCATGGAATAGTGCTAACAAGGATGTTAATGATTGTTAATAATCTTGTGACTGAGGGAATGAGATAGGATTTTTTCTTACAGATCTTACATGCTGCCCTCTATAACACTAACCCCACTCAACCTCACTCCCATCCAGGTCACAACTCCAGTATACCTCCTTCAATTCTTCTTGTACTACTAATCAACATTCGAGCTGGCATACATGGATTGGGAAGGTATTACCAAGAATGCTAATCTCCACCGTTACAAGCCTCAGTTGCTAGTGTACACCGTTTATGACCATGAAAGTGAGGTTTGCTCACAGAGCTACCCTACACTTACCCCCATCAACCCTCACTTCCATCTGGGTCAAGCTACCAATCCAATGCATCTAGTTCTCCTTGCAACACTCTGGGAGGGATTCAGATTGGCATTTACGGTGCAAACAAGGATTCTCAATGACTCATTCCTTATGTCCAGTCAGTACTGTGCGTCTTGCAGCAAGGGGAATGGAGTTTACTCACACAACTCATACTAGCTGATATGCATTAAACTAATTCTCATCGACTTTTCTCCAATCCGGGTCACGGCACCAACACAAATCCTCCCGTTAGACTCACACTGCTCTGAAAAGAATTCATATTGGAGTCTTCAGCAAGAAAGTCAGGGATGCTAGCAAAGATGCTAAAGACCATAGAATCCTACTAGCTGGCCCCTTCTCTCAATTTCTCTCGTATTGGGATCATGGCACCAATATTTACTCAAATCACTCTGAGCAAGATTTGAACAGGCATATGTAGCATGGAAGACGGGTATGTTTACAAGTTTGTTAAATAGAGCCTCCTACTGCCTGTCTTCTATTACCCACCTCAACGTCATTCTCATCAGGGCACCAGTTTAACCACTCCAGTTAGAGACACATACTATAAGGCATCAATTAACAATGAGGCTAAAAACTGCATTCTCTATTGTCCGTTGTTGTGAAGCCAGAGGAGGGATGTTTACTCACACAACTCCTACTAGCTGACCTCTATTACATACACAGATCACACTTGTTCAAAGTTTTAGAGCAGGAGAGTCCAAACTCTGTCCTAGAGGGCTGGGGTCCTACATATTTTAGTTCCAACCCCATTTAAACACACCTGAACCAGCTAATCAAGCTCTTTCTAGGTGTAGTAGAAACTTCCAGGCAGGTTGGAGTTAAACTATGCTGGACACTGGACCTCCAAGCTTGGACACCCCTTTTTTAGAGGCACCAATGAGCTTTGGTTTGAATCTTTGTTTTATTCTGGAGCCAAACTGTCTTCGACTCATTTTCATGGTTCACTGCAAATCCTGTGAACATTTTAGTGTTTATAGAACAAAGAAAGACGGTCAATGCCAAAAGGATGGGAGGGTGTTTTTGTTCTGAAAAGATATGCAGGCACTTGTGTTTGATCGAGGCTGCGGGGTGTTAAAAATGCATAATCCAAATACACCTGTTAACACAAACACACACTTTCCCTCTTTAAACCTGCCATCGCTGTGAGGCTAAATCAAGTTGCGCTTGTGCGGGAAGGAAGGATTTGATGGAATTTTTATATGGGCGATTTTGTCGTGCCGCAGTAAATGCTTATTAAAGAGGAGTAATCAGTTTTCATATTGGAGAGAGTGCTTATCTGGAGCTCAGCCTAAAGCCGAGACCAGCGCCAGTCTACGGGCCACATCAAAGCGTCAGCAATGTGTCCTATTGTAGATAGGCACTTAACAGACCCACACACACATAAAACGAGTCCCTTGGGGAGAGAAAATACCTTTAGTGTTTGTTCTCAATTTACTGAAATGCCAGATTCTGGAATTAGCCGTGAATGCAAATAAACCCAACAAACTATGCGCTCAAAGGAGAGATGGACGCTGGTTAGTGTTCATCAAGTTGAATGCCTGGACTGTTTGTGTGTCAGAAGAGGTGATGGATTGTTAACCGTGGAGAGCAAATGTCACCGATCTAATTCGGATTCTCCGCAGGGTGTCTAAACAGACCAGGAGTCACCCTGGACTAGTTGAAATGATGTTTGTTAAGTAATCTTAAAGCGAAAATGTAAATTCTGATTTATTTACTCTTGCCATTTCAATCTGTACTTGAATGGAGTTCAACGTTGTTTTGCATCCCATTAACATTTGTCAAATGGAATTATTTTACACTACTTTTTCTCAATAATCCATTACTTCATTGTTTCTTTTTGAACACTATTTGTTTAAAATCACTTTCATTTGGCAAGAATGTGAAGGAATATAGACTAAATTGGAGTTGCCATGATTTCATTCATTCATTGCTGATTTATTTTGCAGTTTGAGAAGTTCTGAGCCATTTGTACAAACTTTCCAGCTGTGTAAATGTTCATGTTTCAAAACAATCATGAATTAGGACGAGAATAAGTGATTGATTTCTTGTTATAATGAATGTAATGATGACTCAGTCTTTTTCTCTCTGTTTTCTACCCTTTTTCTGACCCCAGTGACGTTCCAGCGTGTTGATGGAGGCTTGATGAGCAACGGGAGGTAAGATTCCTGTCATCTGCTCTCTCGTTTCCCCTTGTTATTCCTCAGCATGCCACAAAACAGCGCTGGTTATTATCTTTGTGCCAATCACCTGCCTTTAACCTTCAAAGACCAGCCCCTCAATTCCAAACCTCATTCATATTCTGTCCATCATCCTCTGGAAGGTCATCAAAACCATTATCCTCTACAAGGCAGTCGTCTTCCAGCCCGCACTCCGCTTTTAAGGGTTCGCGCCATCGCTGCACTGTTAGAAATTCATCTTAAGGGACGCTTCGGAAGAGAGAATTGAAAGGTTGTTTCTATAGGTTTCTGTGAGAGTTCTTGTGACACACAGCCGTTTCTCATGGGTCAGCAGCTTGATTAACCTTCTAAAAGTCACGCCAGAGTCCATCAATGCGGAACAATTCTTTGCATAACCAATAAAACAGGCTTCGTTCAGATATAAAGAAATAATTCAACCAAAAATATTCAAGATATTGGGCACTTTGCTGGTGTCAAACAGACAATCTGTGATCCCAGGAGGATCTGCATCAGTAATCAAGGCAAGATTATATAGGTCCATATTTATATATAACATTATCTAATTATTGCATTAATATGCAATTAAATACAGTATATATTACAACTTATGACTTGAAAAGTGAAATATTATTAGATATTTTATATATATAAATAATATCTAATAATATATTTATACTGTAATACATTTACAACATATAACCATATACATAGCATTGTCTTTATTGCTGATTCATTTTAATTTATTACAAAAAATATTTCATTTAAATGAGATTATATGTATGGTATTAGTCATTAAAATGCATTTTGCTTTTATGTAAAAGGGCTATTGAAAATGTAGATTATGTATTTATAAACTATTACAAATGATTAAATAGCTTGTTGTTTAAATTCAACAAGCTATTTATAAACCATACTGTCAACAGTCTACAGTAACTTACTGGCAGCAGTTCGCCAGTAACTTACCGTAAATTAATTATAGCAACTTACCGCACCATTTTTCTTGCTTTATATTTATTTACAGTATTGTATATCTTTACTGTATAATATACAGTAATTTTCACAATGCAACTTTAAAATACAGTAACATACTGCATAACTGTCCTAGAGTAAAATTAAGATGTAAATGTGGAAACGTAAATGTTATTTATGTGTACAGCATTGTTTACCTTGCTGTTTATTTATTTACAGTATTGTATATCTTTACTGTAATACATGCAGTAATGTTCACAATGCAACTTTAAAATACAGAAACATACTGCATAACTGTCCTACAGTAAAATGAAGATCGAAATGTGAATGCACTATTTACCTTGTTGTTTATTTATATATTTACAGTACAGTATATCTTTACTGTAAAACATGCAGTATTTTCCACAGTGTAACTTTAAAATGCAGTAACATACTGCACATCTGTCCTACAGTAAAATTAAGATCTAAATGTGAAAATGTAAAGGTTATTTACATTTGCTGCACCATTTATCTTGCTTTATTTGTATTTACAGTATTGTATATCTTTACTGTAAAACACACAGTAATGTTCAAAATGCAACTTTAAAATACAGTAACATACTGCACATCTGTCCTACAGTAAAATGAAGATCTTATTGTGAAAGGTAAATGTTATTTACATTTACAGCACCATTTACCTTGTTTTACTTGTATTTACAGTATTGTATATCTTTACTGTAAAATATACTGTAATTTTCACAATGCAGCTTTTAAATACAGAAACGTTTTACACAATTGTCCTACAGTAAAATGAAGATCTAAATTTGAAAATGTTAATGTTATTTACATTTGCAGCATCATTTACCTACCTTTATTTGTATTTACTGTATTGTATATATTTACAGTTATACAAACAGTAGTTTTCACAATGCAGCTTTAAAATCCAGTAACATACTCCATAAGTGTCCTACAGTAAAATGAAGATCTAAATTTAAAAATGTAAATGTTATTTACATTTTCTGCACCATTTATCTTGCTTTATTTGTATTTACAGTATTGTATATCTTTACTGTAAAACACACAGTAATGTTCAAAATGCAACTTTAAAATACAGTAACATACTGCACATCTGTCCTACAGTAAAATGAAGATCTTACTGTGAAAGGTAAATGTTATTTACATTTACAGCACCATTTACCTTGTTTTACTTGTATTTACAGTATTGTATATCTTTACTGTAAAATATACTGTAATTTTCACAATGCAGCTTTTAAATACAGAAACATATTACACAATTGTCCTACAGTAAAATGAAGATCTAAATTTGAAAATGTTAATGTTATTTACATTTGCAGCATCATTTACCTACCTTTATTTGTATTTACAGTATTGTACTGTATATCTTTACAGATAAACAAACAGTAATTTTCAAAATGCAGCTTTAAAATCCAGTAACATACTGCATAAGTGTCCTACAGTAAAATGAAGATCTAAATTTGAAAATGTAATTGTTATTTACATTTACAGTACCATTTACCTTGCTTTATTTTGTATTTACAGTATTGTATATCTTGTAAAATATACTGCATAATGCATTTTCACAATGCAGCTTTAAAATACAGTAACATACTGCATAACTTTTCTTTATTTAAGTATTTGTAGATATTTGGATTAGAAGCAAGAAGACAAGACAGTGAAACAGGTGCAAATTTGAGAGCCTGTAATAAATGGTCTGTTGGGTATTTTGAGCTGAAACTTTGCAGACACATTCTGTGGACACCAGAGGTTTATTTGACATCCTGTAAAAAAAAAGGGGCATAACACTGGGAAAAAAGAAAGAAAACATCCATATTCTGAGCGGATCGGTCCTGTCAGGTGTGATAAAAGACCCCCAGACAACAAAACACCCCTGATTCTCCAGGTCCAGCAGGTAACTAGTGTCATTCAAATGAACCCTTCCTCTCCTTTTTGCCCCCGAAAAAAAACGTGAAGCCCGTCAGAAGATTCCGGAAGGGTTAGGCTAGCCTTTCCCTGGGGTAATTATTTTTACATTATTACACGTGCTCATATTCCAGCCGCCCAGCCGAGGTGACAGGCAAATTTATCACTGTGGGGGTCCGTAAGGCGGCGGGGACGGAGGGGGGGCTGACAAATGATAAAATAAAACCCTTCTCTGCTTAAATTGTTCCTGCTAATTCTTTTTGGGGGGTGAGATTTATGAGCAGCTAGCCGTCCGTGAAGGGAGATGTGCGTAGATTTGTGTGCACACGTACAGTATGTGTGTGCGTGGTGTGTGTTTGACAGAATGCAGGGTACACAAACAGGCAGATCGCATATTTTCATCCATCAGTCACATGCGATATCAGAGCGAGCTTGATGTATACGCGTATCATCGCTGTGGGTGCATCTGCTGATAAAACTGGGTGCTCATGGGAAACCATACATTCGACTACATATAGTAATCCATCAAAATAGCATTTACATTTTTTTAAATATCAAAACGCTCGAATTCGGTTAAATGTTTGTCTAAAATGCTAATGTTATGCTTAAATATCTGATATGTAGTGTATTTAATTAATGATTTTTGTAAATGACACAGTATTTAACTGTAATATGAACTGAATTTTACTGTAGGACAGTTATGCAGTATGTTAATGTATGTTAAAGTTGCATTATGAAAATTACTGTATATTTTACAGTAAAGATATACTATACTGTACTGTACTACATTTTCACATTTACATCTTAATTACGTACATTTTACTCAATTCTACTTTTTTAATGATGGACTAAAGTTTTGGAGGCAGTGTGTTAATACGATTGACAAAACGTGAGATTGAATAAATTTTTTAACGTGCGAAAATTACAGACAAAAATTTCGGATTTACTACCTTATTTTTACATTTTAGTATGACTCACTAATCACCCAATGACAATTTGGTTGAGGAGTGGGGTTTTTGTGGGCATGCCTCTTTTAAAAAAAAAATGTAATAAGTTTTTATTCAAACTAAATTGTACACTGTAAAAAAAATCTGTAATTTTATGGCTTATTTCCGGCAAAAAAAAAGTAAAATAACAGCCGTTTAATTACAGCATTTTACTGTACAATAACAGAGGTTGAATAACAGAAATTTACCAAAAAAAATTAATATTTTAAGGAAATTTCATATTTCAATTTAATATCTGTTATTTTACAGTAAATAGTCAAATAGCCGGAAATAGCCTGAATAGTCAAAACACCTCTCAACATGCCTTTGCAGAAATGCAAAAAAAGTTTTAATGACAGACTAAAGATCTGGAGTCAGTGTGTCAATCAGATTGACATAACATGAGGTCAAATTTATTTTTTAACGTGAATGAAAATGAAATTGAATGTATTTGTACAAAATAGCCTCTTTTGTACAAAAGCGTTTTTGGATTTTGCCTTTGATTTGTATGGCACAACAAGAGGTTGAATTAATTTTTTTGCATGCGAAAATTACAGATGAAAAATTTTGGATTCAGTGTGCCGTAACCTTAATTAACCTTAATAGTGATACCTTGTCTTTAGCTACATGGCACCCTAGAGATCACAGATAAGCACTTAGCTTTGTAGATGTGAATTAAAACAGACATTCCTCGTAGTAACACTAATATGTTGGTGAATTTAATGCATTATATTGCTATTCACAGAGCCTTATTTTTCGATTTATTTCTCATTTATTTGAATCTGTCCCCTACCAGTAATAAGGTAATACTCTGTATTCTTTACATATAAATTGCTTATAAATGCTTAATATATATATATATATATATATATATATATATATATATATATATATATATATATATATATATATATATATATATATATATATATTTATTTATTTATTTATTTACCTTAATTCCTATAAATTTGTATGATCTTGTTTTTTACATTTTGGTACAACTTGCCAATCCCCCAATGACAATCTAGTTGAGGAGTGGGGTGCGAGTGGACACGCATCTTTTTTTTTTTTTTACGTACATTTTACTTCAAATTAAGTTGTATG